CTTTGGCTGGAGAGGTGGAGGGGTTGTGGTGGCTTTTTTTGAAGGGGACCAAGAATAGGTGGAGCGGGGAAGGTTTCAGAGAGGACTTTCTGCGCTCAGGTTTGGCCAAAAGTGAACGTTACGAGGCCAGCCGGGCATCAAGGAGGTGAAGGCAATGCATCGTTCTCTAGTGGAGAATTGCTTGGAGGCTCATAGATGAAGGAGAAACGGCCAGGTGGAGGGGTTGTGGTGGCTTTTTTTGAAGGGGACCAAGAATAGGTGGAGCGGGGAAGGTTTCAGAGAGGACTTTCTGCGCTCAGGTTTGGCCAAAAGTGAACGTTACGAGGCCAGCCGGGCATCAAGGAGGTGAAGGCAATGCATCGTTCTCTAGTGGAGAATTGCTTGGAGGCTCATAGATGAAGGAGAAACGGCCGTCATTCATCAGCGAAAAGATGGTGGTTGAAATAGCAAAAAGATCTAAAGTAGGGGCGGGGAGAACCTTTTTGGGGTCAGGGGCCGTTGACCCACAGAAAAATAAGTCAGGGGCCATACACAAGTGGGCGGGGGGCGGGGAGAAAGAAAGAAAACTGTCACTGACATGGACCTTGTCCGAGAAGCAGAAAAACACTCCCCACATTCCACTTGCACACCAGAGCCTGGGGGGGCAGGGTAGTAGTTTTTGTGTGCTCCAGCTTGTGATGGGATAGTGAGGGGGGGGGCTGGAGTGCCAATGTGAGCTTCCCATTGGTGGGGTGGGAGCATCCATCTCATCGCATCTATCCCCCAGGCCTTAGGTTCCGTGCTTCTTATCTAAAGACAAGGGCATGACTTGGGGGACTCTCAAATGGAAAGGAGAGGAAAAGAGGAAGACTTACCAAAGGAGATGTTGGAAGAAAAAATTAGAGAAATAGGAGAACGTGGAGAGGACAGAATTACAGAAGCCAAAGGAGCACAAGTTTTTAAGAAGGAGGGTGTAATTGGTGGTGTCAGGAGCATCACAGGCTCAACCAAGGCCTCTGGATACTATCATAAGGAAATATTAAATGAGAAATTCACATTTATTCTGTAACAGTGCCTCCTGGCCTCCTTTTTTCCCCCTCTATCCCAGGAGCTACAGTAGCCTTGAGCTGGGAACCAAACCAAAGTTGTCTTTGTGTCTGTACAGTCTTGCGTCCTATCACAGAAATGTAAAACTAGGAGGGACCTTAGGAGGTCATCTAGTCCAGTCCCCTGCTCTCAGAGCAGGACCATGTAGTAGCTGTCCCATCCCTGACAGGTGTTTGTCTAACCTGTTCTTAAAAACGTCCAATGATGAAGATTCTCTGATCTCCCTATGCATTTTGTGCCGGTTCTTAACTATATTGATGGAAAGTTAACATTCCTTAGAATCAGGTTTGTAGGCCTTTTGAAATTTGTTTTGAGGTTAAGTTTGAAGGATGAGATTGATAGAGGTGTTGTGAGCTCAGTGTTGCATATGCATTTTTCTGATACATTAATGAAATCTTTATGCACAGAGCGAAGGTACTTCCCTTGCTGACCTGTTGTTTTATTTTAGAAAGGACACATCTGCCTGTTCAGAATCAACTAATGGATCTTCACAAACAGATGTTCTTCCTTTTGAGACAACTAGTAAAGAAGCCTTCTTCAGCCGAGTAGAAACATTTACTATATCCTTTGTGGTGTTGAGCTTTCTGTATCAAAAGCTGCCAGGGCCACGTGGGGGAGGACCCTTCCATGCTCTGTCCCCCAAAACCAACTCCGAATCTCTCCTGGCTGTCAGCCCACAAGTGTGTCTCTTCACCCCGCCACTTCATTTCTTATGAGGTGGAGAAATAATTAAGCCCCAAGTGGATTGTGTGATTGTCCCAGATATTTAGCTAAATATAATTGTAATGTCTCTGTATTGTCCTTATCACAAGCACTCTTTGAAGTGGGCAGGCAAACCTCATGAGCTGTCCCCCCTGATATGTGCCAAGTATGGATGGACCATTGTAGAAAGCGACATGCTGAAGTGTTCCAGCTGTCAGGCCTTCCTCTGTGCAAGTTTGCAGCTGGCATTTGACTTCAACAAATGTATGTAGAACTGTCTCTTCGTACGGGTGATTGCTTTGTCTGTCCATCTGTCCGTGAGTCTGTTTGTTCAAGAACTTCTCCTACACAGTAAGAGCTAGGACTGCCACATTCGGTAGGCAGCTTCCTCTGATCGTAGCTTAAAGCAAGGTCAGGGTTTGGTTGTGCCAGGAAAATGGGATATGCCTGGAATGGGATTGCTTAGCATAAAACCATACAGAAAAGAGACAGAATCACTAGGTCCCAGTTCCAAGCCTCCCAATCCCACAGGTGCCCTTTAGAGAGGGCAGGCTGGGGAGCGGGGGGAGCAGAAGCCCCCCATAGATTTGTATGGGGACATTGCTGGCTATTCCTGCTCATCGGGGCGTGAGGGGAATGTTCATTCCTCATTCTGGCTGGGGAGCACAGGGGTCAGATAAATTACGCATTTTGCTCTCATGCCCTGACAGGGACCGGAAGGGTAAGACCAAGCAATCCTGGTACAAATCTTGGGGGTTGGGAAAGCTTTGGTCCCCCATTCCTGACCACTCCCCTATGCACACATAGTCCCCTGGCCAGAGTTCCTCTTCACCCCACAATCCTGACTCCTGCATCCCCCACGCCTCCTGCCCTAAGCCCTTCTTTAATGACCCAAGCAATGCCGGGTAAGAACATAAGAACGGCCCTACTGGGTCAGACCAAAGATCCATCCAGCCCAGTATCCTGTCTGCCGACAGTGGCCAATATTTGATGCCCCAGAGGGAGGGAACACAACAGGTAATCCTCATGTGATCCCTCCCCTGTCACCCCTTTCCAGACAAACAGGCTAGGGACACCATTTGGGGGGTGGGGAAGGATGGATAGCTCAGTGGTTTGAGCTTTGGCTTGCTAAACCCAGGGTTGTGAGTTCAATCCTTCAGCAGGCCATTTAGGGATCTGGGGCAAAATCTGTCAGAGATGGTACTTTGTCCTGCCGTGAGGGCAGGGGACTGGATTCAATGAGCTCTCAAGGTCCCTTCTAGTTCTATGAGTTAGGCGGTATATTTCCATATATTCTTATCCATCTTGGCTAACAAATTCATGGAGGTTAGGTCCATCAATGGCTATCTAGCTCTTTTTTGAACCCTGTTTAAGTCCTAGCCTTTACCACATTCTCTGGCAAGGAGTTCGAAAAGCTGACTATGTGCTGCGTGACAAAAAACTTCCTTTTGTTTATTTTAAACCTGCTGCCCATTCATTTCTTTTGATGACCCCTAGTTTTTATATTGTGGGAATAAAAAATAACTTTTCCTTACTCACTTTTTCTACACCAGTCATGATTGTATAGACCTCTATCATATCACTCCTTAGTCTCCTCTTTTCTGCTACTTCATGGCTGCTCCTTCTGAGCATGAGCCAATGTGGGGAGGAAGAGTATGACAAGCATGCCAGGGCAGGGAGGAATTAGAGTTAGCGGCAGGGAAGAAGAGCTGGTGGGGCAGAGGGTATGACGGGGTCTGCCCCCAATGGGAGGGGGTTCTGCTCTAGGATGCAGGGAAAGAAAGGTGGTTTAAGATCCTGCAGTAAGTGCCTTTGCCGGGGGTCTGCAGGCCAGATTTGTATGTAGCCCTCCATGCAAATATCCATCAAAATGACACCACATGGACACTGGAGCTACAGAAGGCCTGTTCGCTCTCTCCCGCCACCCCTCTGCCGCTGCCGTGTCTTCTGCGGCGCTTTGTCCAACTACACGGACCTGTCCCCCCCTGCTTCCTGCAGTAGATTGTTCCGCAGCTTCCGAGGTCCCAGTCCTGTTTGCCTTTCAGACAAGGAGCGGTGTGTGGAGTTGAAGAAAGCTTTGTGCACGGCCCACGAGAAGTTCTGCTTCTGGCCCGACAACCCCTGCCCAGGTAAGTATCACTAAGGTCGATCTGGGCAACAGTTCAAGAATATGCTCTCTGCCTTCCCTGTTAGTCTTGCTCCTCTATCCTTCTGTATCGGACAGCATTGCCTTCAGTGGTACCTACCTCCAGGTAGGGATGTAACCTATTGTTTAACCAGGTAATTGATTAAACGGGGGGGGAGGGCTCCAGCCCCGTCAGAGCAACCCCTGCCTGTGCCCCCCGTCCCCTCCAATGCCTGGGCTGTTCTAGTGTCTCGGTCGGAGCAGCTCCTGGGCCTGCACTCCCCTTCCCCTGGTACCGCACTCCTACCTTCCTACCTTCAGCTGATGCCAGCTCCAGCCCTAGGGAAGCTGGTTAACTAGTTAACCGTAACCATTAAGGGTGAAGCTTACCGGTTAACCGGTTAAACCTTGATATCCCTACTTTCAGGGTTGCTACAGTCCCTTTTTCCAGAGAGAGAGGACTGTTAAAACTCTAATTGGGATGTGGAGGGAGCTGAATGACTCAGGGCATTTGTAAAGGGGTTGGAGAATGTATCCTATTTAAAGCCCTCGCTTCCCAAGGAAACGGACCCACTTTTCAGTGACGGATCAGGCACAGAGGTGACCCGGAAAGGAACAAAATAGTCGGTCTGTTGTCCTTTTTGTGCTTGGCCTTTTAATGGGAGGAGGACCCTTGTTTTTAATTTGGCATCACTGGCCTGCTCTATGAAATGAGGCGAGGGCAGGGACCTGCAAGAAAACTGACGCCTCTTGCGCTTTGCTTCACATTAGATCGTTTTGCTGTTCTACTGGTGGATGAGCCCCTAGCCCTTGTCAGTGACTTCCTGGACCGCTTTCACAGCCTGTGTCAGCTAGAACTTCAGCTGCCCTCTCTGAAACCAGAGGATCTGAAAAATATGGTGAGTTCGCACAAGCCTGAATTCACCATTCGGGGGGAGCGATGGGTCGGATGAAAAGGCCTGGCCTGCTGGCACACTATGAATTCATACAAAAATGACATGGAGGTTGAGAACTCAGAAGCCAGGAAAGGTAAAATGAGAGTTGCTCGGATACCCTTAGCTCTGCCCCTTGCTCACGCATCATCACACCGTGGTACTAGTCCGTACGTGCGACCCGAGGTGTTGCCTGATGTGTGAGTGCTTCATTTTGCAAGCGCAACCTTCTCTTAACAAAGGTCTTGGGTGTGGAATTTCCTGAGATTTTTTTTTTTTAAGACAGTTTTAAAAATTGCATCCTCTAATTGCACAGTTTGGGGAGGAAGCCCCCGAAAGCAAGTAGTTCACAGTGTTGCAAATGTGCATGAAGCTGTCGGCAGCCTCAGGTGCCCGCTGCTTCATGTGGAAATGTTTCACGGGAAGGAGGCTGTAGCCCGTCTTTGTGCTCTGTGCCCTTCATAGCAGAGGGAAGGAGGCCAGGCCTACCCGCAGCCCCCTCACCCGCTGTAAGTTACACACATTAATCAGCGAGGTGTCATGAGCAGAAAGTAGCATCCAGCCTCGTCTCGTTAGCGGCATGGTGATCGTAAGACAGAGTAACCAGAAAGCTGCAGCCTATAGGCCTGCCAGCGGGGGGGCAAAGGGGCAACTGCCCCAGAGCCCAGCAATTCAAAAGGGCTTCCTGGCCGCCGGAGCCCTGGGCCCTTTAAATTGCTGTTGGAGCAACTTGCAGCGTGCTCTGGGTGGCTCTAAGGGCTGGGGGGCGGGCACACTCTGGGCAGGGTTGATGCTTGGCTGTCCTGGCCCCACCCCTTCCATGCGAGGCCCTGCTTCTCCTGGGAGCGTGGAGTCAGCTCTGCCCCATCTTACCCAGGCGCTGGACATCACTGTTGGCTCCCCTGGTAGCCTATCCTATCTTCTAGCAGTCGCCCAGGGCTCTGGGTCTACTTCCCATCAGCCATGTACAAAGGCCCATTGTTGTAGTCGGGTGTTTGGTTGCCTTTTGGAAGGACACCGGGGTGGATATATTTACTGGAACCAAGACTTCATCAGGTCAGGGCAATAACAGTGGGGGCGGTTGACTTAGCTATTTCGATCCCATTGGTGTCCTTTCTACTATTAGCAGGGCTCGACAAACCGCGGCGAAATCCACTCGCCAGCCCCGCACCGCGCATGCGCACACCGCCAGTGAACGGGGCAACCGGCTGAAATCTACTTGCCACAGGCGAGAAGATAGGCGGATTTGGGTTGTTAAGTTGCGGTTAATTAGCTAATCGAGTAGTCGATGGAATTTCCATCGACTACTCGATTAGTCAATAAGGGAAGCGGCTCTCGCTACCCCGCTGCGGCTCTGCAGTTTAAATGTAGTAGGAGCCAGGTGCTCAGGCAGCCCGGCTCCTACTATATTAAAATGCAAAGCTGCAGCAGTCCAAGCACCTGCCAGACTCTTGCTACATTTAAAATTCGGAGCCGCAGCTCCCAGGGGCAGCGTAAGCTGGAACTGAACCTCCCTGGCTCGCGCCGGCTCTGGAACCACTGCGGTCTGCCTCCTCTGCTTCCCAGAGGCAGCGGTAAGGGGGAGCACAGAGACAGGAAGAGGCAGGAGAGCATGTCGGCAACTCAACTACCCAATAAGCACAGGCTTATCCGGTTGTTAACAAGTCAACTACTCCCTTACATCCCTTATCTGATATTCTGTCTCCCTCCCCATGGGACCACGTGCCTCTTTCCTCCGTGTGTTTTAGTGATTTCCCATCCGTGTACTCAGTTTACACACACACTACCACCGCCCATACGTCTACGCTATGAGTTTTCTCGGCAAAAAATGTGTTAGAGGGACTCGTTTGCATGAGTCGCGATCTCATTTGCATATTTTCTGCCGATCCATTGTTTGCGCTATGGGTTTTTGCGCAAAAACAAGCAGTGTGGACGTTTTCTTTTTGCACAAAAACCCCTTTTTCCACAAGATCGGTATACTTCCTTTTTGGGGTCATAAGGATCTTGTGGAAAAATATTTTTTTGCGCTAAAAGGAAACGTCCACACTGCTTGTTTTTGCGCAAAAACGGATCGACAGAAAATATACAAATGAGATCGTGACTCATGCAAATGAGTCCCTCATTAGCATATTTTTTGCCAAGAAAACTCGAAGTGTAGACATAGCCTGAGAGTCAATCTGGGTTCTTTCTGGTTCCCCCTTCATCACCAGTAACCAAGATTCTGCCGACAACATTCCACTCTCTGTCAACTGTGTGGCCTTGTGGGCAGTGGAGGCTAGTTTGGCATTCAGAATTGAGTTGATCATGCCCAAGGCAGAAGAGAATCCATCCTGCCCCCCTCCATGTTAGCACAAAAGAGCTAACCGGAATAGACACTTCACATTGGTCTTGAAACTCAGCAGCTCTGATTCTGAAAACACCCGGGGAACCCATCTGAGGAGTCCACAGTCACTTTCCTGAGTCCACTTTCCTGTCGCCAGAGGCATGTAGATTAGGCTACCAGACATAGTAAAATGAAGCAGCGATTTAAATAATCGCCGCTTCATTTAAATTTACATGGCTGCCGCGCTGAGCCGACAAACAGCTGATCAGCTGTTTGTTGGCTTAGCGTGATAGTCTGGATACGCGGGTGTCGACATCAAAGGTATTTGTCGACCACCCAGGTATGCCTCCTGGAATGAGGTTTACCTGGGTGGTCGACAAATACCTCGCCAGAGGCATGTAGATTAGGCTATCAGACATAGTAAAATGAAGCGGCGATTTAAATAATCGCCGCTTCATTTAAATTTACATGGCTGCCGTGCTGAGCCGACAAACAGCTGATCAGCTGTTTGTCGGCTCAGCACGGCAGCCATGTAAATTTAAATGAAGCGGCGATTATTTAAATCGCCGCTTCATTTTACTATGTCTGATAGCCTAATCTACATGCCTCTGGCAACAGAGGCACGTAGTCTAGACGTACCCCACGTTACGATGATTTGTTTGTAGCACAGTGGTGCTGAGCTGAGTGCCCCACTGTGCTAAGTGCTTTACACATAGTCAGAGATGGTCTTCGCTCCAAACATGCCTCTCCTACGGAGGAAACCCAAGCCTGGCTCATACCCCTCCCCAACCGTGACTGAGTCGTGTGTCCTTTGCAGTCATTGACGGAAGATAAAATCAGCCTTCTCCTGCATCTGATCGAGGAGGAGCTCGAATGCAAAACCGAAGGGGGGAAAACGGCGACGAAGACGGGCTCTGACATTTTTCAAATCCATGTCCCTGCCTGCATTCTGGCCCTCTGTGGCTGGGCTTACAGGTTAGTAGGTGATTAGTATCTGACAGCGAGAGCTAAAATGCTGTTTGTAAATATCACACGCCCTTTTCAAAACATAGATCGCACCTTGCTGTCATTTGCCGCGAAACCTCTCCGAGACAGGACGCTGGAGCACAAGAGATTGCCCTCCCCAATATTCTCTCTTCAGGGCCTATGCGTCTAATATTTTAAAACCGTCCGTCTCTAGCAGCTATGGTTGCAAAAGCGGCGAGGAGTCCTGTGGCACCTTATAGACTAACTGAAGTGTAGGAGCGTAAGCTTTTGTGGGCAAAAGCCCGCTTCGTCAGATGCAAGTCAAACCTGTTGCAGATGCAAGGCTATGGTTGCAAAGAAAACCTGCAAAACAATGTGGTGAGGTAACTGACGCAGAAACTGGCATCTGCCTGAGTTTTCAGCAAGCCTGAAATCTTCACTCGGGGCTGTCATTTGCCCCGTTTCTTTTGGTGGGTGCTGATGGGGAGATTGCAGATAAACATCCGCCTTTTCTTAGTCCACTGCTCATCAAGGCTGGAGCATGCAGAGAGCTGACTGAGGTGTGTGTGCAGGTTGGTATATAGATTAGAACGTGTAGGCTCTAAACAGGGCGTGGCAGGGTGAAATCATTGATTTCACTTCCCAGAGGTGGGGGCTCAGCTTTCAGAAGATTGGGGAACACTGAACTAAATGCTTAATCTTTCAAATACGTGCGCGTACTGAAAACCAGTATCCGTTTTGAGGATGTTCCTGGATTTCGTCCTGACTTTATCCCCTCTTCTCGCACAACACACAGCCCTCCGTCAAGATCCATGCACCTCCCGATCATCACGTGCTCCCGCTGCATGAGGAAGGTAGGGCTATGGGGCTTCCATCAGATTGAATCTTCCATGCTCGAGCTGGACTCTTGCTTCGGACTCGGCAGCACTCCCACCACGCCCACAGAGGCGCGCTCCGAGCGAGCCCCACTGGTGCCCACCTCTCCTCCCAG